GCTGTCAATGGCCGCTCAATCCATGCCAGCAACAAGAACGATCCATCACCAAAGACGTGTGATATAAGGACTGCTGTGCATGTCACTTTCACTAATTAACCGAATAAAGTCTTCAGGTGATATTCCTGGAATAAGGCACTGAATACCGGTATCTCCCTCTTGATTTGAAATGGGCAAAGGCTGATTTGCTCTAGAAATCATTTGAACTGGACAATTCCGGAGGGAGGGCAGGATACCCACAAGCATCGATATCCTTGTATCCGGTCCTGGTTTCTGCAGAATCTGCAAAAGCTGTATCTATCGTGCAGGAAAGCCCGGGTGACGGATTGTAAGGCCCACTCGCTTGAAATTGAGTTCCACAAGAAAGCTCGTCGTACTACCAAGGTAGGTGGACTTCAAGAAATCCCTATGCGCTAAAATCCAGGTAAGTAATGCTAGTGCATATCTAAAGTAGTATACCGTTGTAGTCGCTTATGGACCGCGTATCGGTCTAGAATCGCCTTGCTTTCTCATCTGCACGGCTAATCAATTCAATCTATCGTGGTAGGTTGGATCTTCACCCTTCATATTGATACCCGAGAAAAGATTACAACCGTTGTTAAGGAAAGCACGAAATGAAGGGGGGACATCCCACCAATCTCTACAGTGAATTGAACTTTGCTGAATGACGTAAGTATTAGAATGCCAGTGCCCAATACAGAGTTTTCGTAACGCCGCAGCCCTGAATATTATTACTTGACGGTGTCAGTTAGGTCCGCAGGGTGGGGAATACATGGGTCACCGCGGGCCATGCCCGCATGTCACCCTTGTGGCCAATGTTTCTTGGTGTTATTCACATCTTGGAGTGGCCTGACTTACTCTACTTCTGAAATGTTTATGTGTCAAACAACGTCAGAAGTAAGCGTTACGGCAAATGTGCTCCGTTGTATCGGATGGAACCCGTTTCTGGATTCAGGTCGAAATTTCTTGGGCAATTAGATGAGGTTCCAGATCGATTTGATTCAGAAACATCGCATCTCGGCAAGAGTTGTTTGTCGCTAATATGGTAGTGTTTCCACGCCTGCGGCCGTCGTCAACACTTGTTCCTTAGATTCCTTAGATGAAGTCCGACGCATTAGCGGCATCTGAAAACAGTGGTGATCCATTACTTGGCTTTCACAACCAATTGAACGAATGCAAGAGTGATATCCACCGGTCTCTATGACATGGCCTGCGAGCTAACATACATGGTAAGCGTACTGCTCAGCTGCTGATTCATGATGTGACTCCAGGCTTCCGTAGCATCTACCGGAGCCAAGAATGCCGGATGGCCCACCGCATCTGGCACTAGAGTCGAGTTAGGCTTCGTCTATTATTCACCGTTCTTCTTGTGCGCGGGCTGCGACGTAACGCTGCATCATTCACGTGGACCAATACCACGAGGTATTCAGGCCTTCTAAGACCGCATAACTTCGGACGGAAGAGTGCAGATACGCAAAAATGTTCAGGGCGATGTGACATTCCTGTGTCGACTTATGTGATGAACCGTTCAGAACCTGGCGGTGGTGAGGGTGGGCACTCGTGTGGAGACGAAAGGATGGGCGCAAGTGCAGGTCTGCAGTTCAGGTACAGGGGACATACCAATACAACCCTAACCACCCCTAGCGTCTAAACATCCGACCCAAGAAGCTGCGGGTCCGGAACCAATAGTTGTACAACCCAGTAAGTCCCGGACCTCAACTGCCCCGAGACCTCAGATCTCCACTGTAGAGCGGCTGTGTGTAGGTTGTCTATTAAAGCCTCGTTGCCGCCCCTCCAAATGCCGTTTTTTCAGTTGCTTCAGTACTCTCAAAGCTTACAACACATAACGGTACTATCAACACCATGAGAGGCACGATACTCAGCGGAATTGTTCTTAACGCATTGCTTGCTTCGGCAGCATGCCCATTCATGCAAGCAGGAGGAGAAAATCCTCATGAGAAGAGGGACAAAGTTACTGGAGACGATGGATTCCTTGACCAGTTTGTTGTCAACGATGCGAATACCTACACCACCACCGATTTCGGTACACCTGTCGATGACCGGAACTCATTGAAGGCCGGGGAAAGAGGTCCTACTTTGTTGGAGGATTTCGTTATGCGGACAAAGATTACCCGATTTGACCACGAGCGTATCCCCGAGAGAGCTGGTATGAATTTATCTTTCCCGTTTTAGATGGGAGTGATGACTCATGATTCTGACTTGTTTCTCCCTAAATAGTTCATGCACGAGGAGCCGCCGCCCATGGATACTTTGAGTCGTACGGCGACTGGTCCAACATTACCGCTGCCTCTTTCCTCAACACGGCCGGAAAGCAGACCCCTATCTTCCTCCGATTCTCGACCGTTGCAGGTTCCAGAGGAAGCGCAGACACTGCGCGTGACGTCCATGGATTCTCGCTTCGCTTCTACACCGACCAAGGAAACTATGGTAAATTCTCCGGTTGGCGTCATCATTTCGGCGATTCGCTAACATCCAGCTAGACATTGTTGGAAACAACATTCCTGTCTTCTTCATTCAGGACGCAATTCAGTTCCCCGACTTGATCCACGCCGTCAAGCCCCGTCCCGACAATGAAATTCCTCAGGCGGCCACCGCTCACGACAGTGCCTGGGACTTCTTCTCCAGCAACCCCTCTACTATGCACACCTTGATGTGGGCACTCTCCGGACACGGAATCCCCAGATCCTTCCGTCACATTGACGGATTCGGAGTCCACACCTTCCGCTTTGTCACCGATGAGGGCAAGTCAAAGCTCATCAAGTGGCACTTCAAGAGCAAGCAGGGACGTGCCTCCGTCACCTGGCCCGAAGCCCAAGCTCTCGCTGGGAAGAACGCCGATTACCACCGTCAAGATCTCCACGATGCCATTGAGAACGGTCACTTCCCCGAATGGGAAGTCGGTGTTCAGATCATGGAGGAGAGCGATGTCCTCCGTTTCGGCTACGACCTTCTCGACCCCACCAAGATTGTTCCTGTTGAAGATGTCCCCATCACCCCCATCGGAAAGTTCATCCTCAACCGCAACACCATGAACTACTTCGCTGAGACCGAGCAGTCCATGTTCTGTCCCGGCCACATTGTCCGCGGTATCGATTTCTCCGAGGACCCCCTTCTCCAGGGCCGTCTTTTCTCCTATGTCGACACTCAGCTTAACCGCAACATGGGATCCCCCAACTTCGAACAGATCCCCATCAACCGTCCCCGTGTTACCGTCCACAACAACAACCGTGATGGAGCAGGCCAGCAGATGCTTCACTCCAACATCTCCCCCTACTCCGAGAACACTCTTAACGAGGGAGCTCCCTACGCCGCCAACATGACCCACGGTCAGGGATTCTTCACTGCTCCTGAGCGTAGAGTTAACGGTGCCTACATCCGCGAGAAGTCCCCCACCTTTATGGACTTCTGGTCCCAGCCCCGTTTGTTCTTGAACTCTCTCTCTCCCGCCGAGCTCCAGATGGTCATCAACGCCGCCCGCTTCGAGCTCTCCAACGTTAAATCAAAGAACGTCCAAAAGCGTGTCATCGCGCAGTTCAACCGTATCTCCAACGAGCTTGCCACCCGCGTTGCTAAGGCTCTCGGACTTGAGGCCCCCGCCCCTGAGACCAAGTACTACCACAACAACAAGACCTCCGATGTCTCCACCTTCGGAAACCCCTTGTCCTCCATTGCCACTTTGAACGTCGGTATCCTCGCCTCCACCAGCTCCGCCAAGTCTGTTGCTCAGGCCCAGGAGATTGCTGCCGCCCTCAAGGCTAAGGGAGCTAACCCAACTGTTATCGCTGAGCACCTTGCCGATGGTGTTGGTGCTACTTACTCTGGTGCCGATGCTGTTCTCTTCGATGGAATCATTATTGCCGATGATACCCGTAAGGTTTTCACTAGCCAGAGCTCGTTGTACCCCGTTGGAAGACCTGTTCAGATCGTCAGGGATGCGTTCTACTACGGAAAGCCTGTTGCTGCTGTTGGAGCTGGAAAGGCTGGGTTCAGCCAGGCTGCAGTTGATGAGAAGGTCAAGGGTGTTTATACTGCGGATGCTTGGGCTAATATTGAGGCGGAGTTCGAGACTGGACTCAAGCAGTTCAAGTTCTTGGACAGATTCCCTATTGACGAGTAAAGGATGAAGAGGGGTAATGATTGATTATGTGGCGTGTATGGATATATACCTGGGTGTTTTGATTCATTTGTAATTGTTTTAGCTGGTTTTGAATTTCTGGTTTGAATGTATCGGGACGCAAGTGTAGATAGCAAATTAATAGCGTGGATCCTAACATGATAGATCTTCAAAAAAAAGCTGTGTCACTTGAACAGAAATAATGGTGTACGTGAGTAAACTTTACGCGCAAGTAATTTATCAAGTTGAAGACGGATCACATTCTAGAACCTCGTTTTTGATGTTACTACACGAATGCTCAGATGTGATTACTTTCGGAAAGCGGGATACTCTAGACATCAGCATCACTCGAACTTTAAGCTTTCGCAGCAACATAAAAGTCACAGAGTGTTCCAGATATCCAGGCTATAAACTCTTCAAGCTTATACTGTTGAGATCTTGATTTGAATGATTCCAGTGAAACATCGATTGAAATCTTCTGCGAAGTGAGGCCAATCGAGTGATTTTTAATGATTAAGGATATAGTTACCTGATGTTAACCCATCGATCCTGGCCCTGTTTGAGTGATCCAGGAATCCAGTCTTCAACCGATAAATAACCTGATGTCAAAGAGTGTATCGATGAAAGCTCGCTCCTATAAACAATCTATCAACAACCCCATGACAAGCTAATATTTGATTCGTCTATGCGATTCGTGACACCCCGAGACATTGAGAAGGGAACCCCATTGGAATGGGTGACAAACAATGAAGACAATGTCCATCATCAGTGTACGATTCGAAAAAAAAAAAAACTACAGCATGCATCCAAACCTAGCGGATATGCAAACGACGCTAGTAGGGTCGAAAACGACGAAAAAGAATGGCGACGTCGACAGGACTCGAACCTGCGCACGCGAACGTAAGAGATTTCTAATCTCTCTCCTTAACCACTCGGACACAACGCCTTTGTTATGCATCTTTTTGGCTTTTTATTAATTCAACCATACGTATTACCTTATGCATCGCCTGGGTGAAGACTGACTCCATTCCACATCACTTCATGACATCTCACGTCATAAACACGACGCCTGCACTCCTGTTTACCCCAACATATCATTACCTTCTCAGTGATAATTATGGTAGGTTCCCTCGTATGAACTAAGGCTGCCTCAGTAGCATACTCAGCTTACGGATATCACACAGCATTGTATCACGCGTATCCGCATCCTAAATTTGCAGTCTCTACAGACAGTAATCTGTATATTCTGTACCCGTATCACAGCATCTGTAGTTGCCGGTCGATCATCATCTCTGCACCACACATGCAGTTCCGTTTCCGAAAACGAACCTCAGCCCTACAGGTTAACAAATTCTTAGACCATCTGTAATATCGGTAGATTCTGTGCATTACATTATTGTTTGTAAGTGGTGATCTTCCGCTTTCGTTCTCAGAAAACACAAAAAGTAAGTGCCATAGCTAGTTGAAAGTCTCAAGCGAAGTTCAAAGGTTTCTTCTTCAGTATTATGCGTTGGATGATGACTCGAGGATCCGTTTTACGCAAAAAAAGAAATGCATGCATGTATGGTACGGTACTTTCATTTTGTCTGAGAGATCGTACTGACAGTAAACGAATTTCCTGTAACCCCTCGAAACGTAGGCCCGGGAAAGTTTCAAGTTTCGTTTTTGTTTTTTTTTTTGGTATTGAGCCCCTGATACAACACTTGTAAGGCGTACGTATCTGACCGACATTAATTCCGGTAATCAGAAATTTGATCGCTAAGCACTCGTCATCTTGTTAAAAGTCTCTGTAATTTATAACAATTTTCCGCACCGTACCCGCAATTGCACTTCTTCCTCGCCTCACCCGTGCCGAAAATTGTAATTGTCTTTCTCGGCTCGTGACTCTGGGTTACATTCAAAGTCTTCCGACACCATGATTCGTGCATTCCCTCCGGTCTATCGTTCGAGATTCAGTTTCGAATAGATACCACGCCCTACAAGCGGCGTAGTCGCAGCAACGCAATCGATTCTTTCATCCCATAAATCACCCGCCCATCGTTCGCTTCTCTTGTTTGCTTGTGTCTCCGAGGCGCTTGCTAGCCTATTTGTCTTCGACCCATTGTAACAGTCGGCTGACTTCTGGAGCCCATGGTTATTGGACCTTGTACTACTCCGGCACCAATCTCCTGGGCCCATTCATCAGCCTGCAAGAAATTGATCAGCCTGTCCTCTAATCCTCATGAAATATCATCCAGTCAGTCCTCCATAAAGCAACTCGGATATAACCCCCCTACTACCTAGTACTACAGTACACCCCAAACATTATCCTGGAAATTTGTAAAACCTTGTAAAGTACCTTACGCAGCTCATCTTCCCGTACATATGGGGAGTTCATCGGGACTTTGTCGGAGCCAATGGATGGAGAGATTAGTATTCAACATCATACCTTTTGGTACGCGTAACGTACTCGATTAAAGTCGCTCTGAAGAAAATGAGGAAGAGAAAACGAGCTTCTAGGGCAAGACAATTTTGTTGCCGAGTATCCGCCGCCAGTAGTATCCCCGGAGTCAACTAAACATCCGCCGCGCTTAAGGCTGATAGACAGAGTGCGGGGTAGGGCCATAGGGAAGAAAGTGGAGTCGATGATCACCTTAGTTACCACCGATTCTTCCTTCCTTTCAAAATACCTCTTTCTAGCACTTGATTAGCTTCGGGGTTGACCGTGGATGTGGCGTTGCTGGTATGTTTCCAAAGTCCGTCGCGATACCTTTGCGAGGAAGAAGAGCAAGCCACCTAGACCTCTTCAGACTTTGTCAAATTTCGTCAAGGATCCTCTCCACGTTTTTGCACCGGAGCTCGCCTTTTGCCGGAAAAAACGGTGGAATTGGAAGCTGGGGAAAGTATTTGAGGGAGCCATATCCTTAGCCCTAGTTCAACCTCCAGGATTATCGAAAAATCTTTGGCCTCTTCATCGCTTTCTGTGGTTAGAGACAGCTCCGCGGAATCCTGCGAAATGCCTCAAAGAAGAGGATGGTTAACTGGGGTAGGTTGCGGTATGCATGTCAGACTTGCAGAGCTCTGCAAGCTAGCTAGCTCGAGCGACGGATGTGCTAGGGTTCAACTACTCCACGTGGAAGAGGGAAGGTGCATAGTACCTCCGAAGCGATGTTTCGTCTCTCCTGGTCGAGGTTCGGGGATCGTTGCAGGGACGGCAAATTCTTCAGGAGGTGAAGCTGAAGTGGAGATGGGGATGAAGATGAAAGTACTCTAGAGGGTATCAACACCTTACCATCTGACAATTATCCGGTAGCAACACAAGGAGAGTGTGAAGCAACGAGCGAAGTGGTCGGGTAGTTCTCCGGTGCCACCGAAGTGCAGAGCAATGACAAGCAATCCGGTCAACTATTATGGTGCTATGTGATACCGACCGTGGGGGACTGGACGAAATTTGGTACGGGAAAATTGCGGAGGTGTTGCGGGGAAATTGGGGGCGCCGACGTCTGGGAATTGATACTATCGGTACCAGTGATCATGTGTACAAGCGACGCCGGAGTTCAATTGTCTTCGGAGTTGGGGTGTCTGACAATTGCTTTCGATCGGAGAGGATAATTGCATACCTTTTTAATAACGTAAATCTTCCGTTTTTGCGTGCATAGAAGAATTTGTGCCTGCATCGAACTTGATAATAATATGAGGGCTATTAACACGTTTTTCCAATGCTCGATAATGGCAGTGGCGGTGGCCAAAGTGCACTTTGCTGACCAAACAATTCTGTGGAAACAGGATGACGAAGGAATGTTCTCTACAATCGATAGCGTAAATCCACAACCCGGAAATACATCTTATCCACAGTGCCTGCATCAAACGATGTCGACAATCATAAGATTCGAGCTATTACTTCATTATGCTCGATGATGACAGAAGTAAAGCCAAGAGCTCGCAGTTCACCCGTTATCTTGATTGTGACAAAGAACTGAAAGAACTGTTTTAAATACTAGAAAATTATTCTTTTTCGCAGCACCATAGACCGCGGGGGTATTTGGTATAAATAAGTTGCGACATAATAATCGCTTGGTATCTCCTTTAAAATAAGATATGGTATCTTCATAAACAAAGCCTCAAAACAAACCCATAGCAAAAACATAAACCCCCGCGCCACCCAACCCATAACATAAAAAATGATTAACAAACTAAAAGTCTTTCATCATCGTCCTCAATATGGACCTCCATGTGAACTCCCCGTCCTAGTATAACTCCCCTTCATCTCCAAACTTCCCCCGCCATCTTCCTCCTCTGTTATATCTAGCGGCGTATCTGCCCACAGAGTATCCACCTTCTCCAGCGAAAGTCCATTCGGTTCCTTAACCCACAACCAAACACATGGAAGTGTTACAACCCCCATAAAAACCGCGTAAACAATGTAGTACTTCCACCCAATTGAATCCATTGCCGCCGGTGAAATCTGTGACACAATGACATTCATCGTCCAATTTCCCACTGCCGCCGCTACTGCCGAACCCTTTCCACGGATCCTAAGAGGAATAACTTCCGGTAAATAAGTCCAACCCATCGGCCCCCAACTCAGAGAAAAAACAATGTTGAATAAAAACATAATCGCAATAGCCGCGGTAGAAGTCGGAACATTAATCGGTCCATCCGGTCCCAGAGGTTGCATCTGACTTGTCAAAGCCGCAAAAATGACGAACAAAAATGCCAATATCGGAGTGCCGACTATGATTGGTTTACGCCGACCAATGGAGTCGACTATGAATAGCATGAAGATTATTGTAGCCAGGGGAGCGACGCAGTGGTAGATGGCGGAGTACATTAGGCTCAACCGGTCACTACGACCGAGACCTGTGTAGATCGTGCCTTGGTAGTAGGTGATTATGTTGATGCCGGTGAATTGTGTGAAGGCGGAAGGCATGGCGGCATTTAGCATACGGGAACGCCATTGCGGGACGGTATACATTACGGCCCAACTGAGGTCAAAAAGTCAGCCCATGATCACGATATTTACTAGCGTAGGCTGACAACGCCGCCCGGAGATAGATTGGAGTAGAGTTAGGACTTACTCAGATGAGTTAGGCTGTACTTGGCTTTCCTTCTTCCATTGAACGGTGATTTCCTGCATGCTGCGTTGAATTATTTCCCGGTTTGTTCCGTCGTGGTATAATTTAATCATGGTTTTGTAGGCTTGGTCGGTAAGGCCTTGTCGGACTAGATATCGGGGGGATTCTGGGAGCCATTGAAGGGCGAAGGCGATGAAGACGGCGGGGATGGCTGCGATTGCAATTGGGAAGCGCCATGTGAAGGCGTTGAGTTCTGCGTTGGGGACGTTGTGGGCGGCATATCCGACCCTGGGGGGAAGGTTAGTTGCGGGCTTGTGATGGTGGCAATTCAGTGACGACGAACCAAGCGGAAATCACGAATCCAATCAAAATCATAAGCTGAACGAAACCTAAAAGGAACCCTCGTGATGTTTCTAAAATGATTTTGTTAGTAAAATCGTCACCCGGAACGGCAAAGACACCTCCGTGACATACCGAATGCGCATTCCGATATGTAAACCGGGACACCGACAGACATCATTCCGATTGCGAAACCCGATACTATTCGGCCAACTAACATCATTGATAGCCTTACTGCTGAGGCTTGTAGAATAACGCCCAAAATCGAAATAACCGCGCCGGTTTGAATGGTACTGTACGTGGGGTTGCTGTCAGAAAAAGCTCTGTAGGAATTGACCACCGGCGTGCGCAACCACAACCTCCTCCAACACGATGCAAAAATAATGGATGCGTACAATCTTCGACCATAATTATCCAAGAGTAAACCGCTCGCCAGCGACCCGAATACTGCTCCGCCTGAAAATACTGAAACTACTGCTCCGATTGTGCTCGCTTTGTCTTCGGTGTTGAAATAGGAATTGAAATGTGGATTTGCGACGATATGTGAAATCAT